GATGGCGAATTAGATGCTGGCCTCAGCCGAGCACGTCGCGGACACCGGAAAGGGGGCGCGAGCTGGGAGGCAGGCGGGGGAGTGGGGCAGAAGGCGCACGTGAAGAAGTATCGGCCGCTGTCGTCGTTGATGTGCAGTGCCTTGGCGGAGTTGGCACTGAACTCGAAGCGGTTGATGATGGCCTTGCCCTGGTTTCGGAGGGCAGCCTGATCGCGCTCGTCGACACGTTGCTGCAGCCGGGCGAAGCATGGAGGGGGGAGGAGGGGCCGTGGAAGACGGGATGTCAGAGAGGGCCATTGGCCGAAGCAGAAGATGAGATCATGGGGGGAGGGCGCCAGCTGCCAGCCGGCCGGGCACGCATGAGCGTACCAGTGAAGGTGCCAGGTCGTGCATGGCCATGAGGGTTGGCCCGTGCACGCGGAAGATCCAGGTGAAGAGCACCATGGCGAAGAGAAAGTTGCGGCCGTCCTCGACCTCGGTGGGGCAGGGGCAGGGGGAGGGAGGGGGGGGGGGGGGGGGGCAGAAGCGGAGGGGAAGGGAAGGCAAGGGAGGGAGGAAGAGCGAAAAGGGCGGGGGGAGGCAGGCGAAACACGGTGTCGGGTCCGCCTGGGGGGCGAAGGTCCGGGAGCTGCGCCTGCCGAAAAAACGAAAGGCCCGGGGCGTGCATGCCTTAATTGACTGTCAGCTGTGGTTCCGGACTGCGGCGCCGGCGCACGGTGGCCGGCTTGCTGGCGGACGGGCAGGAGGCCGGCCGGAGGCGCGGCCGCAGACAAGAACGAATGGACAACAAACCGCCGGGAAGCCGCTCGGCCGATCTTCCCCGGCCGACGGCTGCGACAACAGGCTGTGCCTGGCGCGCGGCCCCAGCATCCCCGGGGCCCCCCAAGAAGGCGGGAGGAAGTGCGAGAAAGGGCGCCCCCCCCCCCCCGCTCGGACTAGTGTGGCTGGCAGAACGGGCAGATCCCCGCGCCTCGCGCCCCGCCACTCCAACCCCCGGAGACGCGCCACTGGTGCTGTGGGGGGGGGGGGGGGGGGGGGGGGGGGGCATTTCTTGGGTCGTCGGCTCGGG